GTTACTTATATTCGTAAGAAAGTAGGGTTTCGAGACTACCAGTAAATCATTGTAATGAGATGTCCTTCATCCCTTACACGAAATAGGGTGAATACATCTCATTACACTGATTTACTGGTAGTCTCGAAACCCTTACTTTCTTACGATTAGAGAACAGTCAACTACCAGTCCGCTTATCACACTAAACAAAATAGGCTGGATCCAACTCGTAGATATGATCAACTATAACTCTTTAAAGCCTACTTATAAACGAAAAATAGAAAAGAGTTTAATCGAAGGTATTGAGACCAAAAAGTTTGGCCCTCGACATGGTTGTAATCCTTTTTTGATGAATAGAAGCACTTTGAAAGGACTCCAAATGCAGAGTAAATACAGTATTATTATTATTCCTTTGGAAAAGTAAGGTTATGTGAAATCGAATGGAAACGACAGGTCTTCTAGGACGATTAGAGAACAGTCAACTACCAGTCCGCTTATCACACTAAACAAAATCGGCTGGATCCACCTCATAGATATGATTAACTATTACTCTCTAAAGCATACTTATAAACGAAAAATAGAAAAGAGTTTAATCGAAGGTATTGAGACCAAAACTGTTTGGTCTTTGACATGGTTGTAATCATTTTTCGATGCATAGAAGCACTTCGAAGGGACTCCGAATGCAGATTAAATACAGTACTTTTATTATTCTTTTGGAAAAGTAAGGTTATATGAAATCGAATCGAAACCACATGTCTTCTAGAACGATTGCGGGAACAGTCAACTACCAGTTCGCTTAATTTGCTAGAGCAAATACGATGAATGCATCCGATCTTCTTCATTTCGGCCCGATTTGGCCTCGGCCGACTTACCGAGAATGGATAACAGAATAGCTGCCTTCTCGTCTGGGCCGCGTTGGTCGGACCCGTCGGCAGATTGGCGACCTCCGGCAACGTCAGCATCATCGGGTTCTGCATCCTCAGGCTGGCCATCATCGGCTGTCGTCCCGGTTGACCGCCCGGTTGCTCGAGCAACAGGCCGTTGACGACAAGGCCGCCGGGCCGCGCCACCGGTACCGGTACCGGCTGCGGAGCCAGACCCGGGCCGACCGAGTAGACGCCGATCAGGTTGTCAAGCGACGGCGATTGCCGACCAGCGTCTGTTGGCGACTGTCCGGCGGCCGAGCAGACAAATCCTGTCGTCAACGCGTGTCCGGCCGGCAAGAGACGGCCCTCGTCGTCGTCTTCGTGGTCGCCGTCGTCGTCGCCGTGGCAACGTTGAGTGGGCAGACGACTGCGCGGCAGAGTGGAGTAGGCCGGGCCGGCAGAAGCCGGCGCCTCGGCTCCGGGCGTCTGCTGGTAGAACAGCAGACCGGCGGCTCCGACCTCGGCGAGGAGACCGTTGCAGCCGGCGCCACAGACCGGCTCACCGGAGCACTCGAAGAAGCCGCGCTCGCGTCCGTAGAAGTCGGCCGAACAGTCGTTCACGTCGCCCAGACCTGCGGGTAGCGAGAATGCATCACACCCTTTTTTAGACACACATTCTCCTCCACTTTTCACTCGGTTATACTGTAGGAGGATATGAAGAAAAACTGCATTTCGAAGTGACATACTCTGTCGTAACTTGCCAGTTCGAGGGCAGATTCGCTTTCGTCTGTACCGCTATCTGAGCGAGGATCCTTACTTTGTGAAATAGAGCAAAAAACATACTAAGCCATGAGATAAGTTGGTCGGTTTGATACATTATTTGCTCTATTTCCTGAAGCATGCTTTCTCGCTCCGATCGCTTTCCGGTCAGATCACATCGCCAATTCCTTTCCATCAACTGCTACTTCGAAATGCAAAGTTACGTCGAACAAGAACTGTACCCACACCAGGCCAAATGTGATGCTGAAGGAGGAATAGTTGAATTTATCCACATTCAGACGAGCAGACCTCCCGTGTGAATTGATTTTCACATAGCCATGCTCACCTTTTGGCAAACGGTTCTATGTGAAATTCAATGGTGGGAAATTTCGAGTGTCACACCTTAATCCCCTTGTGCGCCAGGCTGAATAAAGCTGTGAAGACTGGTAGTTTAGACACTTATTGAATACAAATAAAACCGGTGTATGCCTATTCAGAGATACGTTTTACTCAGGCAACGGGATCGAATGAACTCGAATTGTTCACAAGTAGACACTTCCAATTACCAAGATGGAGAGGCAAAACTCTGTTCCAACAGTTGGAGGAAACAATCTGGCCTTCATCTTCTTTCGTTGCATAAAGATTATTTGATATCGTTTTCGCAAATTGGTTTTTTATCAAGTTGTTGTGGATGAAAGCAACTTGATTAGGAGCTAAAGGTAAATTTCTTTACAATCGGATGTTTAGACCTCACGGCGTAAAGGAATTTAACCGGAACTTGTTTTTCAAGTAGACATTCTCATCCCAGCTTGACCAGACTACAATTCTGACTTTGTCTTGTTCTCATCAGCATTGTTAGCGAGAATCGAATCCGGCTACGGCCGCGTACTATCTCTTCATATTAATTTCGAAGCAAACTATGCCTCTTTCAGGCCACATTTTTTTCGAATGGAACAAACATGTATTTAGCACTAGAGTCGACAACGTTAAGTGTATACAAATTGAATAGGATATGGACACTATATTAGTCCTAGAGTAGAGCCATTAGTCAACCTACATCGCTTAATCTTTCGATGGATAGATGGCGAATTCTCTCAACCATCTCATTGTGGAAAAATACACTATCATTTCTTCCCCAGTTTATGTTACCTAGGGCTACCAAAGTTCGAGCATCGTAGACTTGGGGCATTCTCAGACTCTTCGCTGGCATCATCACTTCTAGTTTGTTCCTAAGACGGCTAAGGCACACTGAAGATTCCGGCGAAATGGACACATTCGTACCAACAATATGGTAGTCATGACTACTAGAAGAGAGGACTCCTAGCAAGGTACGTTCGTCTGGACCGTCTTAACAACCCAACCAAGTTGCGAAAACGAGGTCGAACCACTTTGATAGAAGGAACCGAATTGGGTAGAGAACGATCCTCCCTCGATCTGAATAAGATCCCTCTTTGTTCACCTGAGTTGGACAGGCGAAATAAGCGAAATAAGCAATCAAGTAAATTTAAGGCAATGTCACAAAAGGAGAGTAAAATTAACTCGGAAAAACAATCTTTCTAAATTATAGGTTTCCACGAAGGTGTCTTTTAATAAAATGCAATGCCATTTACAAATAGCCCCCATCAAC